CCCCACCTCCTACCACCACTAAGGTACCCACACCTCCTACCACCACTAAGTGTACCCCCACCTCCTACCATCACTAAGGTACCACACCTCCTACCACCACTAAGGTACCCACACCTCCCTACCACCACTAAGGTACCCCACCTCCCTACCACCACTAACCTTACATAACACGTCCTGAAGGTCACTGCTGGCGGCCCTTATAGAGTCAAAATATTACTGAAAGAAAACAGCCAGTTTATTTCACCTGATTGTTGCAGTTTAACGCTAACCAATCCTAACGCTAACCTAACCTAACCTAACCTAACGCTAACCTAACCTAACCATAACCTAACCTAACGCTAACCTAACCCTAACGCTAACCTAGCTTAACGCTAACCTAACCTCATCTAATCTAACCCAACGCTAACCTAACCTAACCCTAACCCAACCTACCTAACCTAGCTTAACGCTAACCTAACCTAACCGTAACCAACCTAACGCTAACCCAACCTAACCTAAACCTAAATCCAACCTAGCTTAACGCTAACCTAACCCAACCGTAATCCAACCCAACCTAACGCTGACCTAACTTAACGCTAACCTAACGCTGACCTAATCCTAACGCTAACCCAATCACCAACCTAGCCTAACGCTAACCTAACGCTAACCAATCCCAACGCTAACCTAACGCTAACTCAACCTAACGCTAACCTAACCTAACCCAAACTAGGGGTGAAAATATAGTCAAGTCTTCCCTGCAATTAACACGTACACCCACACACACTACGCCAAGCTGAATCAAGTCTCCAAGCGATAGTCTCTTACGCTAAATCCTGGTTAGAGGTGTGTGTGTGTGTGTGTGTGTGTGTGTGTGTGTGTGTGTGTGTTTTTTTTTGCGTGGCAGGTCTCAGGGTCTGGTGTACGTACATAACTAGCTGGTCGACGGAACACACGGTAGATCTTCCTCAGCCACCAAGCGGACCACGACGCGTCGCTCCTCCAAAGATGGACTGCAGGGTGAGTTGAAATACCGAACCTAAACTAACCTTTTGTTTACCTATTTATTCATTTAATTTTTCGACATACTGGATCAAACTCACTTAAAAATCATGTGCTAAGATGGTGGTGTAGGTGAGTTAGATGGGTATTAAGATGGTGATGTGTTAAGATGGTGGAGTGTTAAGATGGTGTGTATTAAGATGGTGGAGTTAAGATGGTGATGTGTTAAGATGGTGATGTGTTAAGATGGTGGTGTGTTAAGATGGTGGTGTTAAGATGGCCGTATTAAGATGGTGATGTGTTAAGATGGTGATTAAGATGTGTGTATTAAGAAGGAGTGTTAAGATGGTGATGTGTTAAGATGGTGATGTGTTAAGATGGTGTGTGTTAAGATGGTGAGGTTAAGATGGTGAGTTAAGATGGTGTATTAAGATGGTGGAGGTTAAGATGGTGATGTGTTAAGATGGTGATGTGTTAAGATGGTGTGTGTTAAGAAATGTGGGTATTAAATGTAGTGTTAAGATGGTGGAGTGTTAAGATGGTGATGTGTTAAGATGGTGGAGGTTAAGATGTGTATTGATGTGGTGTGTTAAGATAGTGATGTATTAAGATGGTGGTGTATTAAGATGGTGGAGTGTTAAGATAGTGATGTGTTAAGATGGTGATGTGTTAAGATGGTGGTGTATTAAGATGGTGGAGGTTAAGAGGTGATGTGTTAAGATGGTGATGTTAAGATGGTGTGTTAAGATGGTGGAGTGTTAAGATAGTGATGTGTTAAGATGGTGATGTGTTAAGATGGTGGAGTGTTAAGATGGTGGAGTGTTAAGATGGTGGTATTAAGATGTGATGTGTTAAGATGGTGTATTAAGATAGTGGAGTGTTAAGATGGTGATGTGTTAAGATGGTGGTGTATTAAGATAGTGATGTATTAGATGTGGTGTTAAGATGGTGGAGTGTTAAGATGGTGATGTGTTAAGATGGTGGTGTATTAAGATGTGTGTTAAGATGGTGGTGTATTAAGATGGAGGTTAAGATGGTGGTGTGTTAAGATGGTGATGTGTTAAGATGGTGGTGTATTAAGATGGTGATGTATTAAGATGGTGTGTTAAGATGTGAGGTTAAGATGGTGGTATTAAGATGGTGGAGTGTTAAGATGGTGGTGTGTTAAGATGGTGATGTGTTAAGATGGTGGTGTATTAAGATGGTGATGTATTAAGATGGTGGTGTGTTAAGATGGTGGAGTGTTAAGATGGTGGAGTGTTAAGATGGTGGTGTATTAAGATGGTGATGTGTTAAGATGGTGGTGTATTAAGATGGTGGAGTGTTAAGATGGTGGTGTGTTAAGATGGTGATGTGTTAAGATGGTGGTATAAGATGGTGATGTATTAAGATGGTGGTGTGTTAAGATGGTGATGTGTTAAGATGGTGGTGTATTAAGATGGTGATGTATTAAGATGGTGGTGTGTTAAGATGTGGAGTGTTAAGATGGTGGTGTATTAAGATGGTGGAGGTTAAGATGGTGGTGTTAAGATGGTGATGTGTTAAGATGGTGTATTAATGGTGATGTATTAAGATGGTGTGTTAAGATGGTGGAGTGTTAAGATGGTGGAGTGTTAAGATGGTGGTGTATTAAGATGGTGGTGTGTTAAGATGGTGGAGTGTTAAGATGGTGATGTGTTAAGATGGTGGTGTATTAAGATGGTGATGTATTAAGATGGTGGAGTGTTAAGATGGTGGAGTGTTAAGATGGTGGTGTGTTAAGATGGTGGTGTGTTAAGATGGTGGAGTGTTAAGATGGTGGTGTGTTAAGATGGTGGTGTGTTAAGATGGTGGTGTGTTAAGATGGTGGTGTGTTAAGATGGTGGTGTTAAGATGGTGTATTAAGATGTGGTGTGTTAAGATGGTGGTGTGTTAAGATGGTGGTGTGTTAAGATGGTCATGTATTAAGATGGTGGTGTGTTAAGATGGTGGTGTGTTAAGATGGTCATGTATTAAGATGGTGGAGTGTTAAGATGGTGGAGTGTTAAGATGGTGGTGTATTAAGATGGTGGTGTGTTAAGATGGTGGTGTGTTAAGATGGTGGTGTGTTAAGATGGTGGTGTGTTAAGATGGTGGTGTGTTAAGATGGTGGTGTGTTAAGATGGTCGTGTATTAAGATGGTGGTGTGTTAAGATGGTGGTGTATTAAGATGGTGGTGTATTAAGATGGTGGTGTTAAGATGGTGGTGTGTTAAGATGGTGTGTATTAAGATGGTGGTGTGTTAAGATGGTGGTGTGTTAAGATGGTGGTGTGTTAAGATGGTCATGTGTTAAGATGGTGGTGTTAAGATTGTTTAAGATGGTGGTGTGTTAAGATGGTAGTTAAGATGTGGTGTTTAAGATATAAGTGTGTTAAGATGGTGGTGTGTTAAGATGGTGGTGTATTAATGGGTGTGTTAAGATGGTGGTGTGTTAAGATGGTGAGGTTAAGATGGGTGTTAGATTATGTGGGTTAAGATGGTGGTGTGTTAAGATGGTGGTGTGTTAAGATGGTCGGTGTTAAGATGGGGTGTTAAGATGGTGGTGTGTTAAGATGGTGTGTTAAGATGGTGGTGTGTTAAGATGGTGGTGTGTTAAGATGGTGGTGTGTTAAGATGGTCATGTGTTAAGATGGTGTGTTAAGATGGTGGTGTGTTAAGATGGTGAGTGTTAAGATGGTGGTGTGTTAAGATGGGTGTTAAGATGGTGTGGTTAAGATGGTGGTGTGTTAAGATGGTGGAGTGTTAAGATGGTGGTGTATTAAGATGGTGGTTAAGATGGTGGTGTTAAGATGGTGGTGTGTTAAGATGGTGGTGTGTTAAGATGGTTGCGTGTTAAGATGGTGGTGTGTTAAGATGGTGGTGTTAAGATGGTAGTTAAGATGGTGGTGTATTAAAGGGTGTTAAGATGGTGGTGTGTTAAGATGTGGTGTGTTAAGATGGATTGTGTTAAGATGGTGGTGTTAAGATGGTGAAATGGTGTGTTAAGATGGTGGTGTGTTAAGATGGTGGAGTGTTAAGATGGTGGTGTGTTAAGATGGTGGTGTGTTAAGATGGTCGTTAAGATGGTGGTGTGTTAAGATGGTGGTGTGTTAAGATGGTCAATGGTGGTGTGTTAAGATGGTGGTGTGTTAAGATGGTGGTGTATTAAGATAGATGTGGTGAAATGGTGTGTTAAGATGGTGGAGTTAAGATGGTGGTGTGTTAAGATGGTGGTGTGTTAAGATGGCTGTGTTAAGATGGTGGTGTGTTAAGATGGTGGTGTGTTAAGATGGTGGAGTGTGATGTGTGTTAAGATGGTGGTGTGTTAAGATGGTGCGTGTTAAGATGGTGGTGTTAAGATGGTGGTGTGTTAAGATGGTGGTGTATTAAGATGGTCATGTGTTAAGATGGTGGTGTGTTAAGATGGTGGTGTGTTAAGAGGCGTGTTAAGATGGTGGTGTGTTAGATGGTGAGAGGGTTTAGATGGGGTGTTAAGATGGTGGTGTGTTAAGATGGTGGTGTGTTAAGATGGTCGTAGTTAAGATGGTGGTGTGTTAAGATGGTGTGTTAAGATGGTGGTGTGTTAAGATGGTCATGTGTTAAGATGGTGGTGTGTTAAGATGGTGGTGTGTTAAGATGGCTGTGTTAAGATGGTGGTGTAGATGGGTGTTAAGATGGTGGTGTGTTAAGATGGTGGTGTATTAAGATGGTGGTGTGTTAAGATGGTGGTGTATTAAGATGGTCATGTGTTAAGATGGTGGTGTGTTAAGATGGTGGTGTGTTAAGATGGTGGTGTGTTAAGATGGTCATGTGTTAAGATGGTGGTGTGTTAAGATGGTATGTGTTAAGATGGTGGTGTTAAGATGGTGGTTTTAAGATGGTGGTGTTTAAGATGTGTTAAGATGGTGGTGTGTTAAGATGGTCATGTGTTAAGATGGTGGTGTTAAGATGGTGGTGTGTTAAGATGGTGGTGTGTTAAGATGGTGGTGTTAAGATGGTGGTGTGTTAAGATGGTGTGTTAAGATGGTGGTGTGTTAAGATGGTGGTGTGTTAAGATGGTGGTGTATTAAGATGGTGGTGTATTAAGATGGTGGTGTGTTAAGATGGTGGTGTGTTAATAGATGGTGGTGTTAAGATGGTGGTGTTAAGATGGTGGTGTATTAAGATGGTGGTGTGTTAAGATGGTCATGTGTTAAGATGGTCATGTATTAAGATGGTGGTGTGTTAAGATGGTGGAGTGTTAAGATGGTGGTGTGTTAAGATGGTCATGTGTTAAGATGGTGGTGTATTAAGATGGTGGTGTGTTAAGATGGTCATGTGTTAAGATGGTGGTGTGTTAAGATGGTGGTGTGTTAAGATGGTGGTGTGTTAAGATGGTCATGTGTTAAGATGGTGGTGTGTTAAGATGGTCATGTGTTAAGATGGTGGTGTGTTAAGATGGTGGTGTGTTAAGATGATGGTGTGTTAAGATGGTGGTGTGTTAAGATGGCGTGTTAACATATGTATTGTGTGTTAAATTGCGTGTTTAGCGTGTTAACGTGGCTGATGCACTGTATTAATGTAGTTGGTGTCATCACAGGTGTTGGTGTTAGTGGCGGCATGCCTGACCCAGGTGACGTTGGCCGCCAAGGCAGAGGAAGAAACAGTAGCAGGAGCAGGAGCAGGAGCAGGAGCAGCAGGAACAGCAGCAGCAGCAGTTTCTCCAGCAGAAGCGGTAGAAGATGAGACGTCACGTGACAAGAGGCACCACTTCCCTTACTACCCCTCTCCGTGGCATGGTCCTCCTCACTGGAGCAGAGAGGCCTGGCTGGGGAGACTTCGCAGTGGTGATGGACCTGGTGACTTCCGTTCTCAGCTCCCCGATGTTGTAGACACTGCTCCCCATAGTGACAGAGGTCGGCTTACCGGCCATGGCCAACGTTATCCCGGAAAGGGCTCTCACGGGTTCTACCCTTATTACTACCGACCCTATCCTCACCCATACTCTTACCCTCCCCACCCAGGTCATAGTTACCATTATGGCCACGGACACTTTGACTACGACTGTGTTTATCCTTACCCTCATTATCATTCCTATGGACCAGGGCCATTCCCAAGAGGGCAACTGGACAGAGAACAAGGTGGCTCTGGTGCTAGTGCTTCTGGCTTTGGCACTGGAACACGACCCCAGACTTCAGATTCAAACTTCCCATCTGATTTTTCTTCTCTACAAACCCCTGGATCATCTAGGCCGCCAGGTGCTGTTGCAGACTCACAGGCTGGTGCAACTTCCTACTCTAACTCATTCCCGAGTCGGCCAGGTCCCTCAGGATTTGGCACTGGGCTCAACACAAATACCTTCCCAGGCTCTTCCTTCAGCCGCCCAGAAGGCCAGTTTGGTGGCTTCGGTACAGGAATTTCCGATGATTCATTTGGTGGAGGAAGCAGTTCATTTGGTGGTGGAGGAAGTTCATTTGGTGGTGGAGGAAGTTCATTTGGTGGTGGAGGAAGTTCATTTGGTGATGGTGGAGGAAGCAGTTCACTTGGTGGTGGAGGAAGTTCATTTGGTGGAGGAGGAAGTTCATTTGGTGGAGGAAGCAGTTCACTTGGTGGTGGAGGAAGTTCATTTGGTGGTGGAGGAAGTTCATTTGGCGATGGTGGAGGAAGCAGTTCACTTGGTGGTGGAGGAAGCAGTTCATTTGGTGGTGGAGGAGGAAGTTCATTTGGTGATGGTGGAGGAAGCAGTTCACTTGGTGGTGGAGGAAGTTCATTTGGTGGTGGAGGAAGTTCATTTGGTGGAGGAAGCAGTTCACTTGGTGGTGGAGGAAGTTCATTTGGTGGAGGAGGAAGTTCATTTGGTGGAGGAAGCAGTTCACTTGGTGGTGGAGGAAGTTCATTTGGTGGAGGAGGAAGTTCATTTGGTGGAGGAAGCAGTTCACTTGATGGAGGATTCCCAAGTTCCACATTCAACACGGGCTCAGGAGCAGACACTTCATCCAACTTTGGACCAGGATCAACAGACACTACACAAGGTTTCAGTGCTGGGTTGTCTTCTCAAGACAGTAAACAACCATATGGACTGTCTTCTGGCTCTGATGATACTGGCAGCTCATCTTTGGGTGGGTCAGGGAACTTCCTCGGAGCTGGTTCTCCGGCTGCACCCATCCCTGGTTTCGGCAATGAAATAAGAGCTCGCGACACAGAGGCAGCAAGTCAGAAGACCAAGAAAGCTGATGGTACCATTGTATAGTAATCCTTGGAGTTCTACCTGTTATTTTATATTGCAAAATTATAATTTAAAATCAAATGACAAGGATCATAGTTTGTATAATGTTATCTGTTATTACCTCTAAGTTGTATACAAGTATTAAGATAACAGACAATGAATTATATTTCTCTTGGTGTCACAGACTGAGAGAATAGAGTGGCGCTTTAACGTAAGATAAGCTTACAGTGATGGCTGTTATCTGTGATGTTCTACCACGGCTGAGGTGTGTAAAATGTTTTTCTATAAACTTCTTCTGAAATCCATATATGTTTTATTAATGACTATTTAGTGCACCTGCCATACTGTGTGACTTTGACAATAACTGTATATAACTTGAAACACATCTATAACGTTTGTTTATTTGTGAAAAATAAATAAAAAATGCTTCAAAGAATTGCTTGAAGTGTTGATAAGGTTGACATCTGAGAATCTGGAATGTTGTTGTGAGTTCTGTTATGTTGGCTATCATATGTGAGAGGTACTCATCACCCAGCTAGGTTTGAGGCACTACACTTTATTAACTTCAGGTACTATATTTCTTACAAGAATTAGGACATAGATCATAAAGTGGCGGCAGCTGTCAGGGCACTCAAGTACCAACACACACACACACACACACACACACACACACACAAACACACACACATCTCTCTACATATATAACATCTAAAGCAATTAAAGCTTTTATCTCCAGGAGCAAATTTACCTAAGTACAGTACAGTACAGTACAGTACAGTATTCCTCCATGGTATAATACTGTATTTTAAAAGATCATCTCCTTATCCACTACATTTAAACCTTACCAAAACAAGACAGAATAAGGTGCACTTCTAATGATATGCAGTGACACCTCTATTTAATGGACTGTACGGGAGAGTGTAATCCATTATATCAAGGTCCATTAGATGTGAAACCTCCATATAACGGACTGTACCCATTAGAATGATGTCTGTTAAATGTAGGTTTTAGTGTGGTACAGTTCAAGGATAGTTCACCAAGCACTTGTTTTACCCACAAGGCACAGCTCGGTGACGTCACTGTTGTGAACGCGCAACAATTATGGTTATTTGTGCAATATATGAGTGCACCAGCAATGCTCAGATCCCAAGCAGAGAGCACATCAAGTATTACAGATATCCCAGAAGTAAGAAAACTTGTGATAAATAGACAAATGTCTGCCAGTGCTCTGATAAAATAAACACCAAATTAGGCCAGCCAAGAACTTGTTTAAAGATAGTTCATATTTCTTTTGTATCTCCTTAATTCTGGAATGTTTGTCAATATCCAGGTATCTTGATATATGTGGCCATAAAGAACTCTGAAATATTTTAAAATTTTGAAAAAAAATTAATGTTAAGTACATCGGTACGTGGGTTTCGGGTGCTCAACACCGCGCTTGTTTCAGGACACGAGGGAAAATTTCTTGTAATTTCTTAATTCTGCAATGTCAGTCAATATCGGGTCATCCAGAAGACCGTGAGACATTGTTCTTGACACGTCTGACAAAAGGAAACAAAACTATTAACCCAAATATAAGAAAAACCTGAGTTACATCACTTAATTGACCAGCGACGGTCGTGATGCTTAACGCCTAGAGAAACTCGCATTGTAAGGCAATATCCAGTTGCCCGGAGTACCCTCAGACATTCACCTTACCATGTCTGGCAAAAGGAAAATCTTTGCATTGTTAATAAGCTCAAAACTGAGTTGTTCTGTCACTTGGTAAATGACCGTGCTGGCCCCTGGCTGTTTCCTTCTACTGTATTATTCTTTTCTGTATCATTTATTTCTTGGAGGACTATGAGAACATAAGGCATTCATTTTGTTATACAGTTCCTGGCCTTACGAGTATTGGCAACAAATGAGACAATCAAACGTCAACCAAGGCAAGACCATCACCACCTTACTGCCCCCAAGTCACCAGATGACGTGTGTTGCTAGCATGACCTCATTGAATGGGGCAGAGCTAAAGTTTATTATGTTACAGCGGTCTGTCCTTACTGTTTATAGTCCTTGGTACAGTCCACACCACTTATAAGCCACACAGACTGGCGGCCTCAAAATTCCTACCCAACAACTTGGCTGGGTCCATCCCTCCCTAAACACACAAACCAGACAATTAATCAGTGGTCAGCCAAGGTGTAAAGTCAACGCCTACCACCAAACACGTTAGTATGGATAGGTTCTACAAACAGTTTTAAAGTTATTTATCCATGCTAACGTGTTTGGTGGGAAGCATTAACTTTACACTGGAGTTGGAAGTTTTGAAGAAAAAAAAAAAAAAAGCTTTGCCTTCCGGTGCAGAACAACAACATTATGTCTGTGTACCATCATAACGGAGCAGAGAAGTCAGGTCAGCCAGATCCTCATCACTAGAACAGCAACAAACACACGAACATCAGGCTGTTACACTTCAGGATGCCAATGATAACAAAAATGAGCAAGATTTGTAACTACAGTACTACCAGGACCGCATTAATAACAGTGCCCGAGGAGCCTGGGCCAGTGGTCCTGGGTCCAGGGAGGCCCTTGAGCTTCCAAATATTTGTGATAATAATAAAAATAATAATAATAATAATAATAATAATAATAATAATAATAATAATAATAATAATAATAATAATAATAATAATAATAATAATAATAATAATAATAATAATAATAATAATAATAATAATAATAATAATAATAATAATAATAATGTAAAATTTGCAGCCCATTACATTGCATCGTAAATAATAAATGTTTGAAGTACTGTATTGTATAAGGACACATTATATTATTTATATTAGTAATAGTACAAATAAATATATATGCTGGTATTTCTCAGTTTGCAGTATCTTTTTGTCTAAATATGAATACTAGCACACATCCCCTCCCCATCCCCACCCCGGAGCAGAAATACGCTGCGTCAACAGTCACTCGTTCAGTCTCGTTGTGCTGACGTTCGATCGCCACGTACCTGCTTGGGTGTGTTGTGTGAGAGCTGCTCGGCGTGACACTCATTGACTCATATGTATCACTGTATTTTATGTCTTTACTAAGTTTACTGAGCAGTGGGTGAATATGATTCTATGCTTTGGAGTTATGGTATAACGTGAATTTGGGGAACTGCAAATATCTGCCAGTTTACCTATGCATGAAATTAGTGAATTTATGATATTTTTCATGTTATATTCTGCATTTCAGGCTTTCAGTTTCAGTTACAGTATTAAAATAATGAATGGCAAAAGTTGAAGTGGAGCTGCTAAGTCAAATCAACAGCAGTTTTCTGCTGAACTTAAAAAAAAAGAAAGAAAAGTTACTTGTTTTTTTAATATACAGTGGTCCCTCGGTTAACGAACACAATTCGTTCCACAGAGTCGTTCGTTAACCGAAAATTTCGTTAACCGAATCTATTAGTTCAATGGGATATTGGGTAATTGGTTCCAACTCACAGAAAAAGTACATACAAAGTACTGTATACCAGTACAGTAAAGCCACCGATAACAACAGTTCGGCAAACAACTTTTCATATTTAAAACCCTAGTTAATTTAGGACCCAGTTCAATTTACGTCCTTATTTCATTCGTATTTACGACCAAAATATAATAAAAATACGTATAATAAAATTACATTTTCATATAAATAATAACTAAATCCCGATATGTATTATAACAAAAAAGAAATATTACTGTAAAAAAAATGAAGAGCGCCTTGTGCAAAGAAGCTGCCTGGCTAATGAGTGGTAAACAACAGTCGGAACTTGGCGGGCCTTTTGTTTTCACACATCTGGAACAGGAGAAAAACTTTCTCAAGTTTCTTACAGCATTTTTGCATCCCTATTCAACATGAGCAAGAGAGCAAGTGATGATAGTGTTGGTTCAAAAGCTAATATAAAGTGTTTAAGCTTAACCGAGAAACTAGATGTGTTAAAACGATATGAAAAAGGTGAGAGGTGAGTGGATATTATATGGAGCAAGCAATGAACATATTTTCTGAAGTGAATCCATTAACAGAACAAAGCATTAAAAGTTAAATAAACACAAATGATCTCTACATAAGGATGTATAATGAGAAAAGAAAGCAGCTGTGCAAGGTTCTTTAGACAGCTTTATTATTCGAAGGCCTAAACCATCAACTTCAACTACACCATCAACTTCAGCATCATAAGCAGCTTCAACATCAACTTCAGGTTTAGTAACAGTTTCAGCAACAGCTTCATGGAAAGCTATAGCTTCAACCAGAGTTGAACCTATAGCTTCAACCAGAGTTGAACATGATGACTTCGTCATCTGAGTAAAAACTCGCACAATATTCATTGGTTGTCCTTATGTTTTAGACTTTACCACCATTGGCGAGAAGAATTTTTGTTTTACATTCGTAAATATTATTTAAAACATATATGAACAGTAATAAGTGTTGCTTTCATATTCACATGTAGAGAAATGACGACATGTTTTAACATGTACGCACTTACTGTTCATACGTTGGCGTTCCCAATCGTCTCGCCTTATTTCTTTACCATTAGTGGTTAGCTACTTCTAGTGTTCCATTTATTAACATTAAATAACATTACTTAAAACATTCATACAGGTATTAATTTTTTAAATTAAGTTCACTACAGCTACAACCAGGGTCTTATTTTCTTCAGTTTCAGGAGGATAACCGACATTATGGGTGTAAACACTGACAACAATGCCGTCTCTTATCCTCTTGTGTGTTTTAATATTCTTCGTATTATTAATGAATTGCATTGTTCATTTCACATATATAAAGATTAATTCAATCAAATACATATTCAGTAATAAACAATAATGAATCTTTTGTCCATATTGTTAAAAAGATAAATGACGCGGTATCCTTAAATGTGCCCGTATATGTTGGCGCTACCAATCCATCTCTATTTTTTTCTTTACCATTAGTGGTTAGCTACTTCCATTGTTCCATTTATTAACATTAAATAACATTACTTAAAACAACCATATTAATCTTTTTACATAATTTTACTATATCTACAACCAGGGTCTTATTTTCTTCATTTTCTCATGTAGAACTATCGTCCTGGACTCCCGGCTGTAAACACAAACGCAAACAATGGCGTCCCATCTTGTGTGACCATATTATTATTCATTTATATTGTATAAGGTGCATTCAGAAACATTATTTAAAGAATATAGTTTGCAATTTTCATTAATTGTATTGTTTTGGGGGGGGGAGAGGAGGGTAAAAAGCCACACAAAAGATATGAAAAGGTCACACTTGGGAACACATCTCATTATTA